ATTTATGCAAAAAAGTCACTATTTCTACAATAAGCTATAATCTTCTACAATATGTAAATCTGTGGAGGTTATGATGTCATAACAATGCAATTTTGCAAGTGCGCGCGCTGCGAGAAGCTCTTCTGCTTTGAAAATTTTGTGGTTGTATTCCATACATGTCAATATATCATTTGAATCCATTGTTGTGACATCATAACCTCCACAGATTTACATATTGTAGAAGATTATAGCTTATTGTAGAAATTATCGCGGTTACGCGATCTTTAAGCGAGCTCAAAGTGCGGTAAGCACAGTTATTGCTGTGAAATCTGATAAAGGAGAAGCATAGCGCTTCTCAAAACATGACTGCGCGAAAGATTTGCGATTGTCTATGCGAAAAAGAGAGAGTAAAAAATTGCTAGGTGGTATCGAGGCAGCCTTCCCAAAGCATAGCCAGCCTTCTCAAAGCATAGCGCGACTTGCTATCTATATATATATATATATATATATATATATATATATATATATATAACTCAAACACTGTACCGTTTTTGTTAGGATGTTTGTGGCTTATAGACTCCTTTGTATGTGAACCAAAGAGGCTGAATTTTGTTCCCCTATAAACAAGCCACGGCGCAAAAGATAGGCTACTTTTTTCGACAATTCGCTGGGTCCTTCTATCGATTTATTGATTTGTTGCACTCTCAGTAAGGGAATGAAGCTTATCAGCAGCTATTGCCGAACCATTCCTACACTTATGTAAACAAGAACAGTACGATCCATTGTGAACTTTCGTCATCAAAGCAAGGTCGAAAGCGTTCAGATGTAGATCCTATACATTCTGTCTAAAACTGCGAGATGCATCTTTTGCGGTGCGAGGTAGTAGTGTTGTTAACGCAAGTCAAAGCCTTTTTTGATGCAGATGTGAGCCAATCGCTAAGTTACAAGCTGTCTCAAATTGCGTGCCACACTCTAGCGTTGGAACCTCCGGCATGAATTCCAGCCGCATGAGCGTGACTCTCAATCTGAAAGCTTACATCATAATTTTGTTTATTGACTGAAGTCCTTGAGTTTTTTTTTCATTAATCTGTTATCCAAATGGCTCACAAGTTGTGGATTACATATCTTTAACGTGGTAGAATGGCTGTTGCTTTGGCTATAGAGGTATTCGCTCTCTAAAGCAAGGACAGTCAAAGAAGCACTTACTTTTGTCGTAGTACGGGAGAGGAGGGTAGAGTGCGGGAGTTAAAACAGAATAACCGATTAGCGGCGAAGTACTAGGAAAAATGATCCTCAGGATAGCAATGGGCGCTACATTATTCGAACGTTCTTCCACCTATATCGCAATGCTTGCTCTTCAAGTTTTTTTCACGTTTTCCATGTTTCAAAAAGAAGAGAGACAATGCTGTTGAGTAAAAGTGTACACATTTTATTTTTATTTTTGCAAACAAACTTCAATGATACACTACTGCTTTGAGTGTCACATATATCCAAAGACAGTGAACCCTAAGTGATGTTATCTCGGGCAAGGCCGGGTACGAATAATATCCAAAGACAGTGAACCCTAAGTGATGTTATCCCGGGCAAGGCCGGGTACGACAGCTAGTATATATATAAAACTCAAACACTGTACCGTGTTTGTTAGGATGTTTGTGGCTTATAGACTCCTTTGTATGTGAACCAAAGAGGCTGAATTTTGTTTCCCTATAAACAAGCCACGGCGCAAAAGATAGGCTACTTTTTTCGACAATTCGCTGGGTCCTTCTATCGATTTATTGATTTGTTGCACTCTCAGTAAGGGAATGAAGCTTATCAGCAGCTATTGCCGAACCATTCCTACACTTATGTAAACAAGAGCAGTGCGATCCATTGTGAACTTTCGTCATCAAAGCAAGGTCGAAAGCGTTCAGATGTAGATCCTATATATTCTGTCTAAAACTGCGAGATGCATCTTTTGCGGTGCGAGGTAGTAGTGTTGTTAACGCAAGTCAAAGCCTTTTTTTGATGCAGATGTGAGCCAATCGCTAAGTTACAAGCTGTCTCAAATTGCGTGCCACACTCTAGCGTTGGAACCTCCGACATGAATTCCAGCCACATGAGCGTGACTCTCAATCTGAAAGCTTACATCCTAATTTTGTTTATTGACTGAAGTCCTTGAGTTTTTTTTTCATTAATCTGCTATCCAAATGGCTCACAAGTTGTGGATTACATATCTTTAACGTGGTAGAATGGCTGTTGCTTTGGCTATAGAGGTATTCGCTCTCTAAAGCAAGACAGTCAAAGAAGCACTTACTTTTGTCGTAGTACGGGAGAGGAGGGTAGAGTGCGGGAGTTAAAACAGAATAACCGATTAGCGGCGAAGTACTAGGAAAAATGATCGTCAGGATAGCAATGGGCACTACATTATTCGAACGTTCTTCCACCTATATCGCAATGCTTGCTCTTCAAGTTTTTTCACGTCTTCCATGTTTCAAAAAGAAGAGAGACAATGCTGTTGAGTAAAAGTGTACACATTTTATTTTTATTTTTGCAAACAAACTTCAATGATACACTACTGCTTTGAGTGTCACATATATCCAAAGACAGTGAACCCTAAGTGATGTTATCCCGGGCAAGGCCGGGTACGACAGCTAGTAGCATATATAGGGCAAGAATGCTTACAAGGAAACTGTGTATAGTCGAAGTGGCCTTTCCAGATGGGATCCATACTGCTTTAAAGAGTATTGCACCAATGATTCCAAATCTGCCTTCCATGCCAAGCGCTTCTGGACGCCGAGTTATGACCGTTCTTCGGAACGAAAAATGAATGCAGAATTTAGGTAAAATTGATTGTTACAATCTTTCCAGTACTTAGATAAAGCAATGTTAAGTATTAGTATATTAAACAAAATGTATCCATTGCATAAACAGCACTGATGCTTGACACTGGACCATTTGAGCAAATTTGGGCAATTATGCTTTAGTTTTGCGTTCAATTTTTCGACTTGAAAAACGACCATAACTCGGCGTCCAGAGGCGCTTGGCAGATTTGGAATCACCGCTTAATGTTCTTCAAAGCAGTATGGGTCTGATCTGGGAAGGCCACTTCGACTAGACACGCTTTCCTTGTTAGTTGTGGTCGTTAACTGCTTCGCGATCGTTTTGTCTTTTTATGTATACTTCCTCTTTTGTGTATTTTTGCGATTGCATTATTTTTATGATTTTTCTCCTTTGTATATTTTTACGATTGCTTCATTTTTGACATATTTTTGATCGTGTTCGTATGTTGTTGGTTTTATATACTTTTGCCAATAAAGGTTTAATTACCCAAGTTTGAGGTGTTCGATCGGAAAACAACGCCCGCGTGGCCAGGTGGTAAGGGGATATCAAGACCCCATTTTAGAAATAGTGACTTTTTTGCAGCGAATAGCTTGTTTCAACTGCCTGGAAATGAGTACTTTTCGTTTACTGTCACCCAATAGACTTTCTACAGAACTGCAAAACAAAATAGCAGCGACAAGACTCAAACCCTCGACCATCTGCTTCGTAGTTCGCTGTCTTGCCACTGCGCCACTGCCACACTGCTACCTTGTCTAGCGCCTCGCTCATCACTAGGTGCGCCGGCTGCGCCGGAGGAAAATGGCCTTGTAACTCCTCCTACAAAACCGCTCGGCACCTAGCGAAAGTAGTTTTGAGTTTGCCTTACCGAGGACGGTCTCCTAGTATACAGCTCATTCCAAATGGTTACTTCGACCGATCATCCTTCCCTTGTCAGAAAGCTACGGTTTACCATAATCGGCACGTTCTGAGTTTTAGCGGTCACATCGCTCGACTTCCACGCATTAAGGTGAGCATTACTCCCGCATTTATTTGTTTCTCGTACCAGATGGCTCAACTCTGCTAGGAAGGACCCGTGCGAGTAGAACTCATGTAAACTTTTGAATTCAGGCTCCGAAGACGGCCACCAATATTTAATTCCACCAGTTCCAAATATTACAATTATTTTTTATTAATGATGGTAATTTCTTGTTGAGAGGTGCCAAGATGGCTACTATTATTTATTTGGCTGTTTCGGCGTGGACGCCGAAACGTCAGCCAAATAGACATTGGCCATATCATCTTGGCACCTCTCAGCAAGAAATATTACAATTATTATTATTATTAGCTTACGTGGGTCGATCGTCTCTGTATGGTTCTGGACCATAGGTTCAAATCCGCTCAGAGACGGTCGGCTTACGTATATTGACGGTAATAATCTCATGATTGTTGCCGTTCTCACCAGCCTGTCAGTGGAGTTTTTGACGCTGCATGATGAATCAATCATCCTGTGTTCATTTTTCCTACGCGATCATCCCTGTAATTGTTTTTTCTTTTTTTAATGTTTCCGGATGAAAAAGAGAAGTAGTTTCCGACCATAGAAGAGAGGTAGTTACCGATCAATGTTATGATTGATGGGAAAATGAGAGTCAAATTCTGATCATAACTTCTCAGACACTTTTTCCGACGGCCCGCGCGCCTTGAGCGTGCGAGCGCTCATGCCTTCCGCCGCCCGTGGAATGAAGGTACGCGGCTCGCTTGCTAAAGGCGCGCCGCTCGCCCGCTCCTTCGAAAGCGTTGTAGGACCCTATTGTGATACAGATAGCATTCCTTTGATAAAATTCATATTTTGTCATTGAAATACTACCTCATAGCGTCAGATTTATTGCCAAACATGTATACAGGTATGATGATGGTAGATTTATTATCCAAAGGCTTACAGAACGACATAATACAGAATCAAAAGCAGAACACAACAGGCAACAACTATATATCATCAATACCTTTTACGCTAAGCACCCTGTTGAAAACACGTAAAGCACAGCAGCCATGCTGATACTGAGAAAGCACTTTTATATACCGGTAAGAATGACCTGATTGAGCAAAAAAAAAAACGGAATATATGACATCCCAAAATGTGCAGGCGCACTGTCATGCGATTAGCAATATGCCATAGCCAGTGGATGTCCGATCCTACCATGCGATTTAAACTGCCGTAAGTGACTTTAGCGCGTAGAACGATATTGGATCTGATAAACTCCTAGAAAAAATTTGTATGTTTTTATCAAAATCAATGTACTCGTACTTACGTAGTAGACCGCTTCGCTAAACTCTTGGCGATGCATCTTCGACAAAATTAGACGGGCTGCTCTGTCAATGTGCAAGATTCCGTCCTCAACACAATCATAAAGTGATCTAGGCAACGGAAGAGGCTGAACTCCTCGTAGGGGAGTCTCAACATGAAACTTGCGTCTTTCGTACACGTTTACCTGAAAAAAACAAAGTCTAGGAAACATAACAGAAAGGAAAAAAAGCAAAAGGTATGAACCTTGTAGAACTTCTAATTCCATCTGGATATCTGAGAATGCCCCTTCGTCTTCGACAATGATTTCACAAAAGGATCTCCCTACTGAAAACGAAACTACTAAAGGTAATAAAACCAGATAACAAACATACCCAGTGAGACATGGTGGAAAAACAGGTCTAGGCTTCGCATACGTTCGTGGTCCTCCAGATTTACGCTTGAGACTGACCGCGGCACGATACATCTTTCAAGATACTGTAATATCAAGAAAAAACATAGCAAACAACTCCGGTGATGGCATCAAAAAAAAACTACTCCGCACGAAAACGTCTCCCTGCATAGTTACGGTAGGGGTCGAAATCACAAATCGGCAAATGTATCTTTCCCCTGTGCTTTGCTTAGGCAGAAGCCGCGGCAGGGTGTGTAGCATACGGCGGTGTTCGTGTGTGCAAAGTTTCACGATCGTCCGAATCGCCGTACACCCGTTTCAGGCAGAACCGTTTTACACCCGTTAACGTGTAGCTACCGTAATCCGAAAAAATGACGTTACGATTTGAAATCCATGTGATATTTAGCATCAGCGGGCCGAACAACCCCTCTGGGGCAAGTTTCAGGCAAATCTATGATTTTGACCCCTACCGTATACCTACCGTAGCCCTGCAGGGAGGCGCTTTCTGCGGAGAAAGGGTGATAATCGTGATCAGCACGTCAGATAACCCCTCTGGACCAAGTTTGAGCGAAATCCATGACAAAACATTTTGGGGCCCGGATAGCCGAATAGCGAGCGGACGCAATACGGACGCTAAGATGCTACGGAATAGGGTGTACATGAATGACAATGACTGTAAAATGTGAACCAGAAAAAAACTTACAAAGAATGGAGACGATTAGCCGGCAAAACGGACAAGCAACTAAGATGCGATAACAAATGCAACCTCCTACGGCTAACAACGAATTCAAAATGATGCTTACGCGTCTTGTTAAGTTACATGTTCGTTGTTCTTACATGTTTGTTGATGGCGCGCCGCTCGCCCGGTCACTCAAGATGGCGCGCCGCCCGTCGAAGGCAAGGCGCGCCGCTCGCACGGCAGTTTTCGATGGCGCGCCGCCCTTCGGAAACGATGCCACGCCCACAAATCTAGGCGCGCCGCTCGCACGGTAGGCTCATGAAAGCGCGCGGGCCGTCGGAAAAAGTGTCTGAGTTATAATAACGGGCTAAGGGTGTTTACGTGACTTTGTGTGTGTGTGTGTGTGTGTGTCCGTCTGTCTGTAACGAAATTCATACAGCGGGTTCCAGCCAACATTAAGAGCTCAAATTTTGCATAGCGCATGCTACCAACGTAGAACTCCACCATACAAAAGCACGAACGGATTCGCTGGGTGGGTCCCTCAGAATTTGCGCGTCAAACGGATCCACTTGGCTTCTGGCCCGCAAAATTGGGTCCGTATCAACGCTTTTTGCAAAGCCGTGGATGTGTTTAGCAGGTTGATGTGTAAGTCATGGACTTTAGGCCAAAAAGTGACCGAAGGTTTGCTACTTTACGAAAACGACGCCAAAAAGAAGTGTTCGCGTAAATGGTCAATCCGCCGTGGATTTACCTGAGCATTTGAGAAGATTTTTGCATAGAGATGTAGCTCACGGTAACTACTGTCTTCATGGCGACTACCAAGCCAAAAAAAAGTTTCAAAACCTATCCATACGTGCATTTGTTTTTTTGCGAAAAGTTACATCCACGCGAAATCACCGATCTTACATAAAAAAGCTTTTAGAATGAATAGTTGTTTACATTTTATTCGCGATAGTCAGCATTGCGCGGTGAGTTTCAAAGCCATTAGTAGGCGAGAAAAAGTAAGGCATATAGAGTAGAACCAGTGCGAGCCTCTGCGAAGCAGAGGTGACGCACTGGTCATTTCATAATGCATAAGCAATTACACCGGCATTATCGGTTAAGATTAGTAATATATGGACCCTTGAACAAGCACTGCATCAATTGCGAGGACCAGCATTTGCAACTTTTTGTTGAAGGATTTTGATTTGCAATTAAACTCAATGATAGGTTATGGTCTTGCATGTCACACATATCTGCAAAAATGGTATTTTCTCATTGTTATGTAAAGGAGAGTGGTTAAGTTCATTTCTACTTCAGGATCACGAGGATGCAGTGAACCGAAATGGGCGCCGCAAGGTAGGTCATTCGTATGAAAAAACGGGAGGGGGGGGGGGGGTTGCAGTGCGGTAGTTTTGCTGGTAACCGCACCATCTACCTCATCTGTGAAAAATACCCCGGGCTAGACCGGGGAAGCCAACTAGTAAGATGATAAAATGAAGAAAGTTAGGCTACTCAGACAATAACTCGGACGAGCGGCGGGCCATTACCGGGCGGGCGATCATGCCTCCCGCCGCTCGCCCTCTAGAGGCACGCGGGCCGCCCGCTACAGATATAAAGCGGACGAGCGGAGTACTTTAGCGGGCGAGCGGAGTACCCTTAGCGGGCGAGCAGAGTACTTCCCTCCACTCTTCCGCTAAAAGTACTCCGCTCGTCCGCTCGCATCAAAGCGGACGAGCGGAGTGCCTTTGGCGGGCTAATATCTATATATTGTCTCGCTCTCCCTCTAGAGATATGCCTCTTCTGAAGACTGCACGGATTTGACAGCTTACTGTCATTGCGTTAATAATCTCTCCTTTCTTTTCCTATGGGCAGATGTGCTAACCCCTAAATTCTTGAGATAGATATAACAAACAATTATTGTAACGTTTTATAGTTTATTAGAAAAGCTAACCACATGCAAAAGCAGATGCAATAGCGCTCAACGTCATGAATTGAAACAGCACGAGATAAACCGGAACAAAATAAGTATCAACGAAGTAAACAACAAGATCACATTCTCATGAGCGGAAAAAAGGTGCAAAGGTGCAAGCACCCATCTACACGTACGCCAAAAATCCGCTGTTTACCAAAAGTCTTCTTCTAAAATCTTCTCAATCTTTTTCTTCCACCTTCAGAAGCATCTTTATCTTCTGGTGCCGCACGCTTCTGTCGCTGAAGCACATAAAATAATCACTGAATTGTCTATTTGCTGTTATGTTCTCACGTCGCTAGGTATCCATTTCCCCGAGTGATAACTGTAAGACCGCACATCTCGCCTAAATTTTATAAACAATATGTAGAATGGTGAAACCGATTTTCTTGAACATACAGCGCCATTTGCAGGCATCTGAAGAGGTGTGGCCGCCAGTCCTTTTGCTGCTCCATTAATTCATCCAAAATTTTCTCTCTTTCTTCATCCGTTTTTGCTAGATTTTTGTAAAACCTTTGAATTATTTCGTAGTTCACAACAAGTCTCGATGGTGGAGAGCTCACTTAGAATTCTCAAGATTGACATCCATCCAGGGTTTGAATTCGTCGTGCCCGAAGCCTAGCATATCTTCTCCAAAATCTAAATATTGGTAATATTGTCAAACCGCGCCCCTATAAACTTGCCCTTTACCTTTCAACACGTCCTCAATTTCTTCGGGGAGGCTTTTTAAAGCCTCATTCCTTCCTCCGGTTTAGCTCATTCTCACGGAAAATTCCTGGATTTTTTCTGGGGGCTCCGTGATCTAAATGCACTTTGTAGAAAGTACCCTTCCTTGCAAATCTTCCTGAAACTTACTCTTTCCAGCACAAATCGATACAAAGAACAAAGTAGTTGATACGCATTCCCTTTTCTTTTTCTCTCCCAATCCTTAGCTAGTTGCGTTAGACTGACCTAGATTAGTGTTTTCATAAATGTCATGAAATTTTTGTAGGAACCTGCTTAAACGGGAGATTCGCGTCTATCTTCCATAGCTTTGAGCAATTGTGCACCCTAACAGTAACGTTAGTATCTGGAGCATTCCTTTCCGCATTTACCATAAATCGTGCCGTCTTTGTTGAAATTGCCCTGGCTATCTCAGCCTGAAACAGGCTATTACAATGATATTAACGAACAAAAAACTCAGCCATACCGTCATTCTATTAGCAATGTTCCACAGCTGATGGTTATCGGGATCATTCAAGCGATTTAGATCTCCATATGTCGTCTTTGTGCACATTACTACGTTGGATCTCACAAATTCCTACAAAAAAACCCTTTTTTGCTTTTGTAGTTTATAGGGGTAGAATTCACATGAAAAGTTGCTTCATTGAATCTTTGTTGACGCATCCTTGACAGTATATACTTGGAGGCTTGATCCATGTATAAAACATTGTTCCGAACGCAGTCGTATAAGGATTTAGGAGAAGGAGATGTTTCAGGATTACGAGAACGTGCATCGAAGTGGAATTCACTCCTCTCGTAGACGTTCCCTCAAAAATTAAAAACTTTTCAAAGCTTTTTGTCCAAGACGTCATAAATATTTACCTCGAGGAACCTCCTGTTCTATCCCTGCGGAATTTTCTTCGTTGAACTCATTCTCGACTCTTTCATCACTGCAAATGCGAACTTAATATCGAAAATTAAGATGAGGTGCAAAACGAACTTTTTCTGAGGAGATGCCAGCTGCCTCAAAGCGAATCTCCGCTTGGCGTAGACTCTTGGTGGGGCTGCGACACTGCTAAGAATATATGGCCGGTACATTTCACTGCTATGGTAATTCAAAACAATTAAGCAGAAGAAGCAATGCGCTAGAGAAAACATAGCGGCACGATAACGATATGAATCAAGCCAAGCAAAGATATTTATTCAATCAAACACATCATTCAAAATCTACATATATATGTGTCGCTTCCAAAATTGATTATTGAGCATGTTCCGGCAATGTCAGAAGCATTCCTGGTACTTGTATATGCTCCAGTTTTTTTGCGAAAGAAGCTGTTACTCTCCATGACTTCTTTCATAAGTCCTAATCCTATTCTTGTGCCCTCTTCCGAATGTGGGAATCGATTAATCCGAAAAAGAAGGTCCACAAAAGGGTTACTTGTGGAATACTCTTCCAGCAACACTGTTACAGAGTTAGTCAGTGCGCTATATAGCAAAAGTATAACAGATCCGTAGCTATTTACGCTTTCACCCGTTTCGGATCTGATATAAACGAGGTCCTGTCGCGTTCTTTTAGAATGCCTCCAATACTTGCCGCTTGAAAAAATTCGGCCTTTTATGACGAGGCGGCAACTGATAAAGAAAAAGCTGTAAGAATCTAGAAGCTTGATGAAGCATATCACGTACTAAGGAATCTCATGTGTACGCATTATTCGCCCCTTTTCGGGTTCATGAAGCTCTTCGAATCTGATTCCGCTATGCTTGGGTATGTAGCACTCTGCGTTTATTTGAATATCAGTGGGAAATCTAAACGATCACGTTATTGCACATATAACATAGCACCAAGGTGGACCTTTCGTTGTGCTGATTTTCGATTTTCTTTCTGAGTGACTCGTAGAATTCATTGTCAGAGTTTTGAATGAACATTAGACGGATCTTTTTTCCGAGCAAATACCTGCGAACGTAGATATTAGGGAAAGAATCAACATGATTGCTTTTACTTTTCCAGTACAAGCGCTGCGCTATTAGTTGTTGTTTGATTTATTTTCAGTTGGAGTCTGCGGTGGTGACTTTCAAATACTGAAGAAGACCATTGATAAAGCGTTCCATATTGAGTCAATTCGCCTTTCATAGCATGGTCAAAGAACCACTATATGTAGACGAAAAAAGTCAAAAAACAAAATGTTTGTGTTGATAATTGAAACCATACACTTACATGGGTTTTCATTGTACAGGTTTGTGGTGCTAGAGTAACCCATAGTTCTTTGGTATAAGAAGCAATAGTTTGTGCCTTCTCAATAATTGACGTTGTAAGAAATTTAGTTTTTGAGATAAGTCGCAGGCATAAACAGTAGCCTATCAGACTGGCTGCAGCAAGGGGTGAACTTATAATATCAACCGCCGCGACGAGTGGGAATATCACTGATGCTGACTAGATTAAGGAACTGCCATTATCGAAGAAGGAAAGACTCAAAGGCATTTTAGTCATTGTGTATACCTCCTCCAGTTCTGCTCCCTTGCAAGTCGGAATATCCTCCAAAGATAAAATCAAGCTTCCAGTATATGTATGTGATTGCATTCCGAGAAGACTATTTTTTACGCGCTCAATTCCCTCATTTGAAATCCTTAATTCTGGGAATTTGGACGATGTACTGAACAAATCTGTAATACTCAAACTTCAACTCATAATTGTTGGCATCGTAGGTTCACCCCTTAGTCTATTTCTTGTAATTCCCTCGGAGCAAATGTGTAGTTGGTCACCAAGAAAATGACAAGGAGGTAACAAGTCGAACAAAAAGGTTTTTGCTGAAATGATGGAGATTATTAAAAAACCAAACTGATAAGTGCCCTACTGTTTAGTCCATATTGTGACGCTTCCGCATCAACACAGTAAGATCTTTTACTCCGTGCTCTGTTGTCTGCATTGGTCGCAGGTATCCACACTCTATGACTATCTATCAGTTGTCCTCGTATATAACACTTTGAACATCCGTATTCCGAATTCCATCGCGGAGTTCCAAATAAAACTTGTTGCGCCTGCACTTTGACCAAACATACATAGCATGTGTAACAAAAACACTGACCGCCATATCGGCTATCCCGCGGAAAAGCTAGATGCTCACAGTCCATAAGGTATTTCCACACATTATTTCTAGTGGGGCCTCAAGCAAATTTTGAAGCTCAGCCTCAAGCCTAGACATATCCGATGTTTACAAAGCTTGCTTCGACTTGGCGATAAAATCTTGCCTGCTGAAAAGAACTTCTAGCATTTTTTGTGTCGGCTTTAAGCGCGTGTGCATCAATCCGGCTATCACGGAGTTGAAATATTGATCTGCTTTTGATGGATGTACTTCAACGCAAAGATAGAGTGGCCACATATCTTTTCTGTACATACTAATCTAATGCTGGAGTTTTCGTGAGTGTATAGGACTAGGACCCAACTTAGAAATCCTTCTTGGAACGAATCCATCTATAGACAGTGATAGAAGAATTTTCAAGTGCCTTCGGTTGAAGTCCGACGCAGTTTCGATGTTTGCATGATATCCACCAAAAAGCCGTCTGTCGCTCCGATCCGTCACATCAATCTTGGCATAACTCGTGATGAAATAATGAAGAACCTGCTGAATTTACCCTCTCATGAAGGATTCGGTGCATCTCGATTATTTCGTGGAAGTTATCGACAAGGATACCGGTGACTTGCGGAAGAATATTGACTATGTGAACCTCCGATCTTTCCATTCGCTTCGTTCTCTTTATCGGCAATCTTTAATGCGTAGTTTCCTGTTGCACTCGACCATTCGGAAACCTAACCCAAAAATTTTACAGCTGCGATTAGTGCAGATATATTGTGTTGGACTCATCAACTCCATACAACCAGAACAAAAGAAATATCTCTGATGATCATAGTCATGCATGATGCTTTCGTTCAGTTCCTTTACATGTTTTTCATACTGAAATCTCTTACTAAGAAGGAACAAATGAGAAGATCGTGTCTTGGATACCGTTATAGGTGGACGGAATCCATAAATAACGGTCATCAATTCTTCCATGCGAGACACTTCTTCCTCAGAAACTCCGAAATGAAGCACGTACATGGCATAATATATCGCTCGTTCAAAAACGGCTGGATAGATGTCATGACTTGTGACCAAAAAGTATCGGTACATACACATTCTGAGTGTCCTGGAGTCGGAAGTTGACTCATTGTAATTGCGGGCATAACTTGATGTAACTTCTTCATCAGCCGCAATGTGTGAAGCACTCGATGGATCACCATAATAATCTTAGTTGTTCTTGAGATAAGGTGAAATTCAGATCTTTCAGTGGGTATCATACCTTGATTTTCCATATTAGAGTTTTTAGTGAAATCTCTGTTTTGCTGTTCGCGCCTATGCAATTCGGCAACATGTGCCGCATCCACTCGCCTTTGATGACTTCGTTGAGTCATGTACTCATTTACTGCTTCTAACAATAAGAATGTGTGAAGATAATACGTCGAGGTCAATTAACTCTAGAAATACCTCCGTAGGCTCGAACGCTTCGTGGTCTAATTTCGAACATTATGCTACAAGGATGAGCGAACGTCACAAAGTTGTTCTCCAAAAATTGAGGTCAAAATAAGGTGGAATGGTGGACGTTGTCAGAAATTTGAAGTCAAGAATTCTCTGCAATTTTATAAAACTTGAAATGAGTCAGTGCAGGTTAAAGCAGTATTGCTCGGAAAAGTGTTCAAATCATGCTGATTGTGGGATTCGGAATTAGAATTGAAGTGTATGGGACCCGTCATACTTCGCGGAAAAAAGTCCAAAAAGCCCAAACCTCAAAAATCCGGAAAAAGCCCGACAAAACCCGAAAGCGCGAGAATGCAGATCGAACTTTTGGTAGACTCCTGACATTATTTTGATGTGCAGACGACAGAAAATGAAAAAAAAGCCAGCCTTGCTTTTTTGCCTTTTTGCCCAGTTCTTTTGGAAATCTTTTCAGCTAATTTAAAGCTAACATCTGACAGCAGAAAGAGAAAGATCAATGCATAAGTGAACGCCAAAGTGTATGGAATATCCTTGGGTATAAAAAACAAACTGTAGGTTTTTTGATGTGAAAGCGAGTCACCCACCCCTTCAATATAGTGAACCTTCCAATCAGACTTGGAATATTTGTGCAGTATAAATCCTCTTCAGTGGCTTTGTGGATTGTCACTCTAAATGAAGAAACATGAGTAAAGTCAGTAAATGTGCAAAGTGTGAGGGTTTTTCCACTATTTTTCAACGAAGGCTGTGCAATAGTCAAACTGTTGTATTAGCGAAGTGAAGAAGTTGATATATCGGTGTACAAGTGCTGCAGCGTTCAAGGGGAATTAGACTGTAACAGTCGTACCGACTCTACGCCTGCTGGAGAAGGTAGACCGCTCGCTTGCTGTTAGGGTAATTCTTTTGATTTTTGACGTTGACGTTGAGTTTGACGCAACGTGAGGAGATACACGAGAGGCGTCAAAGAAATAATTTACAGCCACAACTGAACCCGCAAGTCAATGCAAGATCACCGAGCACCTGAAAAGACAGGTTGTAGAGGTAAAATGGAGAAGAAAGGTGATAGAAAACAAAGCCCAAAGCGATTCCATCCGCCATCATAGCACGTCCAAAGCACCCAATGGAAGCCCAAAAGGTCTAATGCGGAAGGCTCGCCCT